CTTGTGAGGTTTATATTAACCCATTGTGGGTACTGTGTTTGTGCACCATGGGTGTGGTTTAGCAACAAAAACATTCTTGTCCCAAAAGAACTTTGCTCAAAACATCAGAGGAAAAGAAGAGGAAAAAGTTACAGCAAAGGGCAAGATGACTTGAAATTAATCTGCAGGTCAAGAAAATGGTACCAGAAGGGAATGATTAGATATTCCAGATACAAAACAACTAGTTGAAAGTACTTCTGTTAATATTCGAGGAATTTCCTTCACACATTTATAACCAAGCTGCTGATGCAGCTATTTTGGCACAACCTCTATACTATATTATTATTTGGCTTTTTTTTATTTTATTAGGATCCAGTTCATTAAGTGAATTGCATCAGGCTCGCTCAGAATTACCATCCTATACAGATTTAGGCTGCTGGACCTTCAAATACATTATTTGTAGTGGTCTCTCTTTCCCTCTATTCCAGCTCTGATCAAGGCCATGGCTCCAATACTCTTCCTTTAGTGCTGGGCCCTGTTGCTGCCCTGCTCCTGATCATCGTGACAGCTTTTGCCATCGTCAAATACAGGCAGATGAAGAGATCTGGTGAGTCCCTCCCTGCCTTTCTTGCCTCTCAAGAAACATCAGCAATATTAAGATGAAGGCAACGCCTTTGTGTCTTTGCTGGGCTGAGCTGCTCTCCTGGTTACCCACCATGTGACGGGCAGGGAAGGGACCTTGCTGGTCCCACTGACCCCATCCTTGGAGCTCCAACACCCAGGACAGAGTGCCCAGCTGAGACAGAGCCCACTCCTGTGTGTGCTTTGCACCTTGTATCCCACAGCATTACCTCACACAGAGGGTTCAGGTGCCAATGTGCTCACACCAGCTCTAAAAAGAGGATTTATTTGTTTCCCCCTCTCTCACCAGACCTGGTGTCCATTGGGAGCTACAGGACAAACATCAGCATGTCAGACTTTGAGAGTGTGAAGGATTACAGTGCCAGCAACAGCACCTGTGTGAAGGAGAGCCAGGAGACTGCCATCGGAGGGGACGGTAGGGTGCTGGCTCCAGCCCCCCCCAGGGTCAGGGGTCTGCAGAAGGACCCCACAAAAGCCACAGAAATGCCTGCCCACCGCTGCCCCCCTCCCTAACACCTCCCTTTGCCTCCCTGCAGAGTTCATCACCACCAAGGACACCCCAGAAAGTGCCACCGAGGCAAAGAAGGCAAAAAGGGTAAGAGGCGGCAGGAGAGAGGCCACTGACCTGGGAGACACAGCCACAGCCCTCCAGTCTCTGCCAAAGGGGCTGCCTTCTTCCAGGGGCCTTATTTATACCCAGGTGCTCTCGATCTTATCTGGATCCAGCACCTGCTGCAGATCAGCCTCTGTGGGAAGGACCTTACCCCTTTCCTGACTCCATGTTCTAGTGGAGACAGTAACAGCAGTCACCTTGCTTCAAACAGTAAACCAGGTCAGCCCCAGGTTGCATCAGGAAAGTTGGGGTTGTTACCATAGACACGAAACACTGGGATAAGCAGCTGGCCAGAAAACAGAGCACATCCCACCTTCCAACCCTCCCACACGTGGGCACAGGTAGGCAGGGAGGGCTCTGCCATTGCAAGGGCTGTGACTTGTTCCTGTGATCCCTGCCTTTCCCTGCCTCTACTTTTCCCTACCATCTACTCCCCCACCCCTCCCTCTGGGGAAGATGATGGTCAAGTGGCAGCACTGGGCAGTAGCTGAAGGTGCCAGATGCAAGCCTGTGTTTTTCCAAGTCCCTACCCACAGGTGAGATGTGAGTGTTGTAAGTGCCAAAAGCTGGACTGGAGCAATAAAGGAAACCAGTAAAGCCTGGCAGCTTTAGGACAGGGAGCTGGATGCCAACACACAGGGTCAGGCTTGCCATGGAGTCCCAAACCCACAAACATTTGGGGCCTTTCCAGGGCTGAGCAGAGGAGTGATGTTCATACCAGCACCGACGTGACCCTCTGGGTCCTCCCACTCATCCACCCTGCCCGTGTCATCCTGAGACCCTCACAGCCCACGAAATGCTGCCTTTCCCCTGCTGGCCACCTAACTGTGTCCTCCTGTCCTTTCCCAGAGCTCCAAGGAGGATGCTGACCTCGCCTACTCCACCTTCCTCCTCACCTCGGGCAGCATCGCTCAGGGTGGCTCCGGGGGGGACAGCACTGCCCTGGATGTGTCCCCCTCCCAGGAGCAGGTCTGAAGGTCAGGGATTGAGAGGAGGCAGCGACTGGGACCGGCTCTACCTTGAGGATCACACCAAGCCATCAGCAAGCACACACACTGTTCATTGCTACCACGATTTGCTATAGCTTGACCTGTTTGTTTTTTTTTTTCTTTTGCTTAAATTCAGCTTCGAGCGGTGATTTAGGAGGAATTATTTGATGCCAAATAGGGCTGGGCTGGAAGTGCAGGGTCTGAGTGAGCAGGTTGGACTGGGAGACTAAGTGGCTCATTCCACCAACAGTTCCAACAGAGTGGGCTCTCACAGGGCATTTTAAAAAAGTCCCATTTTCTTTTAAAGGCAGCTGGAAAACCCTTTAGAACAGCATCTGATGCTTTTGATTCCTCTAAGCTTTCTCAACCTGAGGGCAGCACCTGCAGGCCAGACATGGTCTGAAGTGTTTTCATGCACAAGCAATAAAGAATATCAGTGGCTTTCAGCAGACCAGGGAACTCGATCCGTGGGAGAGCACAGGGAGATCACACCCAGACAGACACAGTAAGGGTGGGACAAGCTGAATATTCCACAGATAAAGCAATGTAGGAAGCAGCAATGATGAAGAGGTGATGAAGCAGAGAAGCAATTTTCCCTGAACACCAGGAATGGGATAGGCTGGTGCCTTACCTGGGGAAGAGAAGGGGTGTGGAGGGGTTTGACAGGGCCAGGGCAGAAACTGCACAGGAATTCAAATTCCTGACCTTGTGCTGCTGAAGTGCAGCTCTGAGACCAAACCATAAAATATAAAGATTGGGAAGCATCACCCTGGGTAGGGTCTGATGTGACTGTGTTACAGTAACACCACGCAATATTTCTGGTTCAGTAAAGTATTAGCTGCATTTAAAAAAATGAAAACAGTGTCATAGCTCAGGGAGGTGCTGGAAAATGGCTGTTACCTGAGAGACACTGAGTTTCACCAAGGACAAAACACAAATTATTCCTGAATCATGGACTTCCCCAGAGGGCAGCAGCCCCAACAGCGTTTGTGTTTTCACATCCCCAGTGCAATAATCATCACCTTACCCATAGCAAGGCTGGGACCTCAAAGGTCAGGTTATAGCTCACCTACCTCCTCTCCAGGGCTCCATCCCCTCATCAGCCCTGTGGGAAGGGGTTTGGATATTGGAAAAGGTGTGGAGGGGCCAGGACAGGTCTGTGCCTGCCCGGAGTTGCTGGAAGTGAATGACTGACTCTGCTGGAAAGTGTCCCCGGGGGTGAGCAGGCACAGAGCGGCAGGAGAACGCTAAGGTTTGGAAACTTCTGAGAGGAGAAAACCCCTTTTGCTCTCCCTTTGTGAATCCACTTCCTCTTCAGCCTGCCCAAAGGCGTCCTTCCCTCAGCTCCCACACCGCCCTGGGAGCAGCTGGGATGAGCTTAATTCCCGGGAGAGGAGCAGGGGCTGAGAAAGGGCTGAGCATCCTGGCTCTGCCTGCACCCCTCAGCCCTGGCAGCTGCCTGCCTGAGACCCCTGCTCCTTCCCACTGCTGACGCTTCCAGCTGGCACCTCAATTCCAAAGGGGAATGGCCCTGGGCTGCTGCTGTGCTTTGCAATGTAAAATCCCTGGTTTTGATGGAAGCAGCAAAGCAGGAGTGGGTTGGGGCATGCAGCACTCTGCACAGGCTGTGAGCAGTGAATAGGATCAACAGTGAGGACTGTGACAGCATAAGCTCAGGACGTGGAATAAAACCCACACATCTCACTCAAGCCGTGATCCAGAGCCCGCCACAATCCATGGAAAGGTCCACAGGGAGCTCACCTGACTCTTCACCAACGTGTCAGCTGATTTTCGGGGGTCAGTGGTGAGCTGTGGTATCTCACTGTGTCACAGCATCATTCCCAGTGGTTATTCTTTACCAGGGAATCATGGTATGGGCTGTACCTGTGGGGTCTTAAAGGGTTGGTTTCAGGAGTGATGGAGCTGAAATATCACCTTTCAGAGCCTGGAGGGATGTATTCACCCTGACACCCGGACAAATGAGAGTCACTGAAAAAAAAACCCATGAGAAAGCAAATTACAAGAATCAAAGCCCTGACAGGCTTCCCTTTGGCCTAAACAAACAGCTGAGGAAGGACAGTGAGCAATCAGGGAGACCTTTCCTTTGAAAGTGAATCACCAAATCTGATTTGATGCCAGAAGTCTGACCAGGGTTCTCCTGTGATGGAGATTAAACCAAAGCAGGAACTCAGTTGTCCTTGGGGGCACAAGGACCTTATTCTGTGGGAACAAAATCCTGCTAAAGAACCTCTTCTGCAGTTGAAGCATTCCTGGTGTCACCTCTGTAGCACCATTAGTAGTTGGTTGCCCAAGCTGGGAACAGCCAGCCCTCCATCCATCCTGGCTGCTGAGGCTGGAAAGGGAGACCTGGAGAGTTTGGGGCTGTCCCATGGGAACAGAGATGCTGGGAAGAGGCTTGTGCAAGCCTGAAGGATTCACACCAGAAGCAATGAGAGCTGCTCAGAGCCAGGGGAGAGCACACAGCCCCCTGGTTGTGCCCATGGCACCACAGCAGGCAGGACTTGTGGGACACCTCGCTCAGCTTAGTTGACTTTTAAAGCAAAACACACCAAATCAGAGCTTTACCCTCTAGTCTTACTCAAGTCTTATGTCTGATGAATGCAGCAGGAAGACTTGATCACTTGAAATACCAGGACTAAGCTGCTACCAGGGACATAAATGCCCAACTGCTCAGTGAGTTCAGAAAGTTTTAACCAGCAAGAATCATATAATTCCTCAGAATTCTGACAGACTCAGCACAGTTTCGAGTGGGGTTTATTTACAGTCATTGCAACCAATTTCCACAAAACTCACTACTGAGTGTCAGTAAATTGCACAACACACACAGGAGCCTTTTTCTATTCAGCAACCACATGTCTTGCACAGAAACTTTTTTACTGATAAGGCAGAAAATACCATCTCAAAAGGACAGACAGATCTCTAAGGCCTCACACACCTTCTAGGACCTATTCTTGGAAGCATTTCTCACACTGTGCACCTTGTTTCAGCCAGATCCATCAGTGGCAGCAGCCCTGTGAGACTGAGCCCAGGTTTAAGCTGCACCAGAGTCCTTCCAGCCAGCACTCAGCACTCATGAATACACATTTCCTATCTGAATATACACTCCCTACACAGAAAATTTATAACTTAAACAACAATTTTATTACATGGTCACAGCTTATGTCTGCTAGCAAGAGAAACCCTTTGAGCTTTTTCCCTTGGAGCATCCTTTGATAGAAGCCAGCAAAGCGAGGGTAGCGCTGATTTAATCAAACTCGTTATTTCCATCTTAATGAAGACTCTGTTGGTGCCTTGACTGATGTGCCTGGCTAGCAAAGCACTCTGACTGAACCCAGCTGGAATCAGTGAGGAGCTGCACTGATACAGGGCATTTTTGTCCCTCTCATCACTGGGGTGTGCAAGGTCCCAGCAGCTCCGTCAGCCCCGGCCGTGGTGGGTTGTTGATGCCTCCTGCTCCCTAAGGAGATTTCTCCATCCAGTCTAACAGGATGTCCAGCTCACCCAGGGATTTCATTGCTGCATTTGTGACATTCAGCTGAAATGGGATAAAGGAAGAAGTTGTGAGCACAGATAATGAGTACAAACCAACACAAAGAGGATCTAAACATCTGTATTAATCACCAGACTCAGGCACCAACTCACCCCTTCATAGTTTGCAAGTATTTGCTTAAATTTCTCAGTGGATTCCTGCCCACACAGGCACTGATTTTGCTCATGCTAGAAAAATAAGATAAATTCGTTAGTTTGAGGAGTTACACTTAAAAATAATAGTTCGGTTTCTAATTATGCTGTAAATTATAGAACTGAGACCTTGTGAAACTGTGGGAAAGGCTGCAGGTCCCTGAATCAGACTTCAGCTAAGAACAGTTTACTTGACAGACACAGGGACAAGATAAATATTGTCCTTGAGGACTAACGTGGGAGTTTGTTTGCTGGTGAGTGGGCAAGCAGAGAAATTTCTCAGCGGCCAGAAACACTCTTCACATCACGCTGCTTTGTGTTCTTGTTGAAGCCACTTGTATAAATAAAGACTTTGAACTTTGTAAAGCTCTTGGGTTTGTTTATACACCAAATACTAACAGATGGAACTAAACTACAGCAAAGAGACAAGACTTACACACTGCTCCAGTTTCCTCTTCATGCTGAGGAAGGAGTTGGCGATGCTGCTGATTTTTCGGTTCACGTACGAATCCTCGGTCTTGCAGTGCTTGAAAACTTTGTCCACGTAGAAGTTGAAGAGGTGGTGGGTGATGCAGCACCTATCTGAAGACTTAAAGAACAAATTTCATTTTTTTTAAAGGTTATAAACCTGCAGCCACCAAGCCCCTCTCTGGAATAAACCACCCCTGAGAGGAAGCACGTTGCAGCTGAGCACAGCGGGACATTTTGACTCATATAAAGCTTTTTCAGTGCTGCTTGATTTATACTGGTAATATATATATATATGTATATGAAATTATTTTAGACTGCTTTTCCAGGAGTTCCATCCTCAGGAAATCTCACAGAGTCAAGACAATAAACAGCTGATTTTGCAGCTGGGTGTTAGCGGCTGTGACCTGAAGCAGTGGCCAGTACCCAGCGCTTCAGGGTGTGAGAGAGCTGAAAAATGCTTATTTATAGCATATTGCACCTCCCAAGACCCCATTCCTCTGCTTTTGGAATCTTTAATGGCTTTCCACCCAAGGACACTCACGTTAACCTTGTGCAGGGAGTGTGGATGGGACAAGATGCTCAGGGTCCGGATGGGGTCTCTTGCTTGCTGCAAAGGAGAGCACAGAGATGGGGAAGGTTCCAGAGGGGCTCTGGGAGCTGCCAACTAAAGAGCTTCCCCAGCTCCACAAGAGCCTGGAGAAATACTTACAATATTGGCTTTAATTGCTGTGAAACCAGCCCTGATCTCAGTCATGCTCATGGAAACCCTGCAGGCTCCAAAGTGCAGGATTTTGTTCCCAGCTGTGGGCATCAAATTCACCCAGCAGCACATGGAGAAGAGGCAGAGGAACAAGTGGGATCCCTTCATTTCAGCTGCTCAAGGAAAACAGCACTGACTCATTATCTTTGCTAAATAACACAATTGTGATGCACATGAAAATATAAACATTTTATATAGCACTTGTAAAGTACATCTCTATTAAAAAAAACACACTGGGTAGCATCTCTTAGTCATTTTTTTTTTTTACTCTTCATCAGCAAGAGAAAAAAAAAATCAAACAAAATCAAATATTTAACAGAAGAGCCTAAGAGAAAACGAGGAAAAATAAATAAAATGCAAGTAAAAAAAATTGCACGTAAATAGACATAGCTCTTCTGAAAAATATTTCATCGGAGAAATAAATATGGATATACATTAAATTTTTAAATGTCTACTAACTCAGAAGCAGCAGGAGGTAACTGTGACTGAAAGCAGCAGGTTCCAAAGTCTGATTCCCAAAGGAAAACGCTTTCCCTCAGGAATAACAGAAGTCAAACACAAGTTCTACTAGCGCTGAAAATTAAGGTTATTAAGGAAAAAACTATTTTAGAGACACCTTATAGGAATACAAGGAAATACCCACGAGTACATAGAGCAAAAGGACAAAAATCAGTGTTTTACCTTGCTCTTTGGTGTGGGTTCACGATGTCTGACCTGGAGAGCTCCGAAGAACACGTTTTTATCCCGGTACCAGGAGGAAATAACTCTTGGATTAACTTTTGGGATTTTGCTTGCTTTTCCCGGCATGTATTTCCCTCTGTAATTTACTGAATTAATGAGCAGGGGAAAGGGACCAGCTCTCTCTCCCCCACAGGTGTTTTCCTCACCTACAGAGGCGGGAACTCTTGGCATCGCTGTGTCATTTTTCATTCGGGAAGAAGGATGTGACCAAAAGGAGGGACCATCATGGGCGTTGCATCCCTAAAATGCTGGGGCTTCCCCAGCATGGAGCCAATGCTACCAAGTGATTCCTGGAGAGGGCCCCTTCCTGGCTTGTCACAGAGGTCTTGGGATGTGGGAAGTTGTGGGAAGTTGAGTGGCATCACCCCATGGTCCGAACACCCCAGGGCTTCTGGCACTGGACAAGGTGCTCTGGTAGAAGAGCTGTGACTCAGGAAGTTGTCCAGACCTTTCTCCATCATTGTCCTGGCCTTCCCCTGCCAGGCTCAGGGAATTCTGCTTCCAGGCTCGCTCCTCAGGTGGGTGGACACTTATCTGCACTGTGTGTCCCTGGAGCACAGGTCAGGGATTTTGGATGGCACAGCTCCCACTTTGGTGGCAGAAATCTCTTGGTCTCCAGGGTCACAGGTGACTTCAGTGATCATTATGCATAGTCCAAAAGTGTCACCCTACAGAGGGACAGAAATTTCACTCCAGCTTCTCAAAGTCCACCAGCCCAGCAGCAAAATAACAAGCCCATGATTATCCCACCCCAAGATTTCGCTGCTGAGCAAAACTGATGCAGGCGGGGTCCTCCAGCAGAGCAGACACATTCTCCCACCAACATTTCAGATCCAGGCTGCCCCCAGGGAGCCAGGGTTTGCCAGCTGGGGCATGTTGTCACATGAAAGTGGCACTACTGGTGCAAATCCCAGGCTGGTTCACCGGGCTGTTGGCTCCGAGGCTGGTTTGGTTGTTCCTGTAACCCCTCTGGAGAGAGCCAAGCTCATTCTACAAACAAAAAGGAGCAGTTAAAAAAACTTCTTGGACTATCTGTGCCCAGGAAAGATGGTCAGGTGGACTTAGAGGGCATGGAGGTGGTAAAATCACCTCTTTAATCCCACAGCCAACCTCCAGAGAAGGTTCCCACTGAGAGCAGCAGCCCCAGCGTGCACCTCTTGCAATGCAGGTGTATCTTGTGCCACTGCCTGTGGGCCAGGGCTGTTCTGTACAGTTTTGCTGAGTGACTAATTTATTGATAACCAAACATATATCCATCACCAGGGAAGACTAGGCAAATGGATTTTATGCCCAGGCTAGTCATAGTATTGCACAGAGCGTTGCTGAAACTGCCCTAAATGCACCCAACGTGCCTCCCTCCCACTGCACCTTCGCCCTGTAAATCATCCAAAGGGCAGGTCCAAATCTGCAGCAGGTTGCATTTGCCCTTGCTGAGGTGTTGGAGGGATCTGTGAAAGCACAAGGCTGTTAATCCCTCCCTTCCTCCCCCAGTTCCCAGCTGCTGCCTGTAATTCCAGCAAAAGTTTTGCTTGGAGCAGAGGAAGTGGCAGCAGCATTCCCAGGAGCCCAGTGCACACCCAGCCTGGATGAAGAAACAAGGGAAGAGGCAATGAGTTCTTACTTCATTATGTAAATGGCAGATGACAAAAAGGGATTTCTTTTTATTTTTCCTTTTGGTAACTGAACTGGAGCTCACAATGGGTCAGCTGAGTGCCAGCAGGCAAGAAAGAGTTGTGGGTTAAAGACTGCCAGGTAGATGCAGGGGAGGTTTGGGGGTGATATGGGAACAGGAGGGAAATGTTGTATTATCAGGGTCCAGGGCCTTGCCACAGACCTGGCTGGGTGTCCCTCAGGATGGCATCAACAGGGATCACAGAATGGTTTGGGTTGGAAGGGACCTTAAAGGTCACCTGGTTCCACACTCTGCCATGGACAGGGACACCTTCCACCAGCCCAGGTTGCTCCAAGCCCTGTCCAACCTGGCCTTGGACACTTCCAGGGATGGGGCAGCCACAGCTTCCCTGGGCAACCTGTGCCAGGGCTTCAGCACCCTCACAGGGAGCAATTTCTTCCCAATATCTACTCTAAACCTCCTCTCCATCAGCATGCATTGGACCAAGTCCTGATGGAAGCAAATCACCTGGCTCTCACCTACCTGCCAACTACAGCAACATGAAAATATCCTCAGGGAAACAATGAAACAACCATTTCTCCTTCGCTCTGGGAAGGAAGAGGAAAAAGAGAAATAGGGATTTCTGAAACTCAGCCATGTGACGCTGCAGATGAGCTCAGACAGTAAAATGGGAAGAGACTCCCCCAGGCACTCTCAGAATAGTTAAAGTTTTCGGGTACTGCAGCGCTGGGAAGGGAGCAGGAAAGCGGTCCTGTCCCCAGGAACACTTCCAGGCAACTCCCGGCTAACGGGGGAGGGCTCCTCCCTCGGGATTTTATGGCAGGCACGTTATGACAGGGCACACTAAAAGTAGTTACAACCCGAAGAACAAGCAAAGGCAGCAGAGAGGGTTGTGAGCCAGCTGCCACCGTGCTCGGGAGTTAAAACTAAGCCCCGTGTATCATTAGCTTATCTCAGAAATCAGCTCTGCAGAGTGCGGGGTGAGCGGCACAGCTCCTGCACCTCCCGCATCAGAAAGGCACAAAAGGGGCTTGCGGGGTCGAAGGGAATGTCCCCAGCGCAGCTGGAAAATAACCCTCGGAGCATCCTCTGCCGGCTCTCGGCAGCTCCGGGACGGATACTGAGGCTCACTCTGCTGTCACTGCGCAGAGCTGGCACCGCTGCTGCGGCAACGAAACATCCCCACAGCGGCAAAATGCAAGAGACTGCTGAGGCCAAATGGAGTGACTAACAGAGCAGACAACCCTGGAGAGCCCGGGAGTGGGACAGGAGACGAGACACTTCACCACCGGTTGCGTTGGGAAACTCAGCAGCAGCTCCCAGCCCTGCTCCAACGCGGGGCAGGGGAGTCATCCCTGTGCACCCCACTCATGTGGAGTTACTGCACTCCTGCTGCCTGATCCAGCCCTGACCCAACTTAATTCATTTCAAATAGGTTTGGTTTTATTCTAAAAAAACCAAAACAAAACAAAACACCAAAGCCTTAAAAGTATATCATCAAACTGTTCTGACCTCAAGGATCTGCTGTCAAGGACTGATCCCACAACACGCTTAACATTAGGTTTCCAGTAAAGTGTTTCAGAGTGATAAGGCACCAGTTTCAATAGTGCATTTCAATGTAGTTTCATGCAATAAGAAGTTCTGACAGCACTCTACAGCCCAGCCTTGGTTTATCATTCTTTGTCATCACCCATATTTCACAGCAGCTTTAGGTAAACCATTATTTCAGATCTGAGGGTGATAATGGTTTGTACGCAGATCCCCGGAGCTAGAGAATGTGAATGATAGAAATGCTCCCAGAAATTTTAATAAAGGGGAAAATTAAGCCTTAATAACAACATCCAGCAACAATATCTGAACTCAGGAACAATTCCTCATATCCTTCAGGAAAAGATCTGCAATATCCAACTTGGCCACATGAAACAAGAGTACTTCTAGGATGTTACACCTCTCCTTGTAATACTGTTGCTCATCAAAACACCTGTCAAAGGAATGTAATTATTGTTCCACAGGCAGAGGAAAATGTTTCCACTTGTTTTTTATGCACTGGAGTAATTTCTTACACACTTGCAGTGGGGTAAATTCTGAGCCAGCCCTACCCTTATCATAGCTGGGAGTTAATGGGAAGGTGGGCTGCAGGGTGCTGCTGTGCTGCAGCTCGGAGTAGTTCTCAGCACCTTAAAAATCAAAGTTTCATTGCCAAGCAATCCAGAGCCAAAACCTCGTTTGAACAAGCACTGATCTGTCCCGATCCTCCTGAACCCAGGGGCTGACACCAGCACCCGAGAGATGTCACCCATCCCAACGCCACTCTTTCGAAGGGCTCCTCCCTGACACCCTTCTCTCTTTGGGATGGAAACGCCCTCTCCCAGCCCTGACAATCAGATTGCTCTTCTGCTTTTCCCCCTCTTGATTAGTGCAGCTCGTTATGGGCAGAGAGCCGGGCTGGGGCTGCCGGCCCTGCCCTCGCCCAGCCCCAGCCCTGCAGTGCTGCTGACAGAGGTACAAAAAGTGTTTTTCTCAGTAAACTCAACAAATGACTCAGGAAACTCCGCGAGGAGTTATCGGCTGAGAGGTGTGGTACATCGTGTACCCTCTCCTCAGTCACGTTTCTAACCATAACCACTTGAATAATTCTGAAGATCAAACACTTGAGTGCTGCCTCGTAGGGAGCAACAGGCTGAGCACGGCTCGGCTTAGGGAAATGTGATTGTTATTCAGCCAAGCCCCAGAGACACCCAAAGCCATGGGAGTAAAAGTTCAGGCTGATTTCCAGGATCCCTTCCCTCAGACCGGTTTCCAGGATCCCTTCCCAAGTGGCTCACTGTGCCCAGCATTCCCAGAAGTTTTAGGACCTCCCCTCACGGGCAGAGCATCTCCTTTCCCAGTGCCGAGGGGCTGGGCAATGTCCTTCATCCCAAAATAATGGGTGAATCACCCTGATTTAGGGCATCACCCATGACTGTCCCTCTGGGGCTCTTCCTGCCATTGTGTGTTACCAACAGCCCAGCCCAGGATGTCCCCAGGTGCACGACTCCCCAGAAAGGGGACAGTGCCACGTTGCCCAGCGAGCATCACCCCTCTGCTGTGGGTGACCTTGGCGTCACTTTGTCCTCACTGGCTGTCCTTGCTCATGGTCAGCTCCCAGCTGGGCAGGGCTGCACATCACAGCAAATGCCCCCCGTGCCAGCCACCGCCCTCAGGGAGCAGATGTGACACTTGTCTGTGTGACTCACCGGTGCCAGCACTGCTGCCAAGGCAGGATTTCACCCAAAGAGGGTAAAGAAATCGCAAGGAAAAAAAAAAAAAAGTGCTTTTCTTCTTTTTTTTTTTTTTTTTTTTTTTTTTCCCCTCCACCTCTAAGACTCACCTTTGTGGAAGAGGAAAAGCGTGGTGGAGGATCTTGTACATCAACATCTCTTCTGCAGAAAAGCATCGATTTAGTCACCGGGGTGGGGGGTGTTGAAGGTTAGGTACTTGTTTCCCCTGCTTCGATAAAACATGAACTCATATTTTGGTTATCATAAATGGC